CAGGAGAGAGTTGGGCTGGGGCAGCCACAGAGGAGAAGGCTCCAGCTGGGGAGACCTGCTGGGGGCTGCCAGGGCTTCAAGGGGGCCTAGAAGAAAGCTGGGGACAGAGTTTTTGGCAGGGCCTGTTGGGACAGGACAAGGGATAAGGGCTTCAAACTGAAAGGAGGAGATTCAAACTAGAGAGAAGGAAGAAATGTTTGACCCTGAGGGTGGTGAGCCCCTGGCCCAGGCTGCCCAGAGAGGTGGTCGCTGCCCCATCCCTGGAACCATTCCAGGTGAGGTTGGCCGGGGCTCTGAGCACCCTGCTCTAGCTGCAGATGTCCCTGCTCCCTGCAGGGGGGTTGGACTAAATGACCTTGAAAGGTCCTTGCCAACCCAAAACTTTCTGTGGTTCTGTGATACAGATTGGATATCCAGCTGTCTGCTCTCTGCCTTGAACTCTTAGTTATTGGTGCAGGACCCAGGGCTGCACCGTTAAAACAGAACATTAAATCCAACATTAAAACAGAACTTTTTTGGGTTTGATGGACGTCCCCACCAAGGCAAGGAAGGAGGGAGCCTTAGTCCCTAGGAGGTAGGGTGGGGTGGTAGGACCTCATACCCCAGGAGCAATGCTGACAGCCCTTTGCTGCTGTTCCTGTGCCACAGGAGCTGCTGCAGCTGGAGGACAGGCTGGGCAGCGTGAACCGGGGTGCCGTCCAGAACACCATTGAGAGGTTCACCTTCCCCCACAAGTACAAAAAGGTGAGCACCCCGAAACTGTCTCAGTGGCCAGCCCTTCTCAGCTGGCTTCGGGCTGCGGGCGTGGAGCAGATAGAAAAAAGGACTGGTGGGTCACCTTGCTCAGGGTTGGCAAACTGGTGCCATCCATCGAAACATTCCCCCGAAATGGGGGAAGGAATGTAAAATCCAGAACTGGTGCTGTAATATCTTGTGGGGCTCCTGGGCTGAAGCAGTGGTGTAGCTCAGCTGGCTGTTTCTCACTTCTAGGCTAGGAAGCTGCGGGCCAAATTTTCAAAAGGGTCTCAACCTTCTCCCACCCAGCGGGTGCAATTTCCCCCCTGTTCGCACCTGGTAAGAAAGTGCCCACACCAAGGGGGCTTTGTGCATGCAAACCTGCCCCATTCTGCATGCAAGCAGCTCTGCCCACGTGCCATGCCATGAGGGTGCTGGCTCCATGGTGTGGGGGAGCTTGTCCTCCCCTCCTTTTGCAAGAGATGTCTCCTCCCTTGGAGCTGATCTCCTGCCAATAAAGAAACGGATGCCATGTTTTTGGGTTGTGCTACATAGGAAATGGGAAAAGTGCTTGTTTGCATAGTGGTTTCACACATTGGTTGTCCCCAGCTGGGCAGTGACAAGCTGGGACATTGGGCTGCCCAAGCTGGAAGGGAATCCACCCCTGCTGTGCTCGTCTCTGACCTCATTTCCAGTGAAAGCAGAAAAGTTATGTCGATAGAAACGGATGGGGGGAAGAGAAAAGGGGAGAGCTGACAGGCTCATCACTGCCCCATGGCACAGTGTGGGGCTGGGCCAATGGTCAGGCTGGTATGGGGCACAGTGCTTGCCCTTTCTGGCTGTGGTGGCCTCACATGCCTTTGAGGTCTTCAGGAAAAGCCTCCAGCAAAGGAGACCATCAGGCCATAACTCCTGCCAGAAGGACGGAGGAGATGGCAGGGCACTGTATTAGGGCCACAGAGTACAGGCTGCTCTTTGGGGCACTACCTCCAGCCCCACCACCACTGGTCCCAGGAGGAGATGTGCTGGCCAGCAGCATGCTGGTGACACCCTCCCCTCACTGTCTGTTTTCCCCAGGCTGGAGGATCTGGTTGATAGACAAATCTCTTATTATTTGCCTTCCTGCAACTATCCAGGCTTGGGAGAGCGTTAGAAAGTCAAGTCCTAACCAAGTGATGTCTTTAACCTTGCTGCAGAGAAGGCCACAGGAGGGTAAGGCTGAGCAAGAGGATGGGGAGGAGTCGGATACCGATGAGAAATGCACAATCTGTCTGTCCATGCTTGAAGATGGAGAAGATGTCAGGTACGATCCTCCCATCTGCTCCTCTGCCACTTCATGCCATCCAAGTTGTGTTTATTGCAAGTAATGCCACTGTTCTGGTGGTGGTGTCCCTGTTCTTGTCCTGACAAACTCACTCGGGCTGTTGCAGGGTCTAGAAAAGCAAATGCCCTTCAGGCAGATATTGGTATGGGCTGTGAGCAGGAGGAGCTCTGAAGCAGCAGGAGGACCAGGTTTTTGTAGTATCTCCGTGATTTGGATCACCTGCATCAAGGCTGTGCCAACAGGCCAGGTGGCAAGTGTCAGAGAAGGATGGGTCCCAGGTCTCAGACAGCTAGCTGAAGCTCAGGGACATCAACATCTGAGCTTGACAGATGAACAAAGTACAATAAAAGGGAACGTGGGCATAAAGTCCAGGCAAGTTTGACTTGTGGCCAAGATGGAGCTACTTTATTGTAGATTAAAGGAGATTACTTCACCTGCATTGTGAGGGGTGCCAACAACAAAGCCCCAGTTATCCCCCAGAGATATCTCCAGCCTCTTGGCTGGATCAGATCTCTGCTTGTGGTGGAGGATGGGGGCAAGAAATTGCAAGTGTCTGAGCTTATAGCTGTGAAAGGTTTAAAAGCAGCAACCAGGGTAATTGATAACTGGAATAACTCAATGCAGGAGGTATGGAATGTTCTAAAAGGCTTTCAGCCAAGAAGAACACCATCTCTGACCTACTGCCCCGTCTGAGCTGGCACAGCTGGGGAAGCCTGTAGGACCTAAGCCGTTCTGGTGTCACTACATCAGTGCTTTCCCATGTTTGAGGCAGCCCTGTCTGTTGCTTCCTGGCTCTTCCTGGTCCCCTGGACATCCTCCATCCTAACAGGGTGATACTCCTCTCTCTCTCTGCAGACGGCTGCCCTGTATGCATCTCTTCCACCAAGTGTGCGTGGACCAGTGGCTGGCCACCAGCAAGAAGTGCCCGATCTGCAGGGTGGACATTGAAACACAGCTCGGCTCAGACAGCTGAAAGGACTGGCTGGACACACCATTTTTCCTTTCCAGGTCGTATGGCCATAAACCCTTGCAGCAAAATTTTTGCCTTCTGAGCCATTTGATTGAGAGGAAAAGTCTGCAAGCATGTTAGCAGAGGAGGAGGAGGAGGAGGAGGAGGGGGTGGTACAATATCTAGTGGTAGGAGATATTGCACATAACGCAGGATACGGGCCCGCTGAAAGGGAGCTGGCATTCCCAGAGCTCAGAGACCCCGTGCTGCAGAAGATTTAGTGTTGAACATGAGTGAAGTGTTTGGTGTAGTCTGGCCTGTCAATCCTGCATTTCATGAGGATTGTATATATACCTCTTGAATACGTAGACACATGTTAGGGGTCCTTTAGCTATTTCTATGGATGGCAGCTGGAGCATGTTAGCTTAAGAAATGTTGTGTTTGATGCCCTACTCATCTTGTGGTGGACATGTTGCTGTTACCTAATTTGCACCAAATATTTTTTCATAGATTCCTTATTTTGGTGCCTGATTAATACATTGCAGATGGGGAATAAAGAGGTTAAGCTTTCCTACCCTTGGAGAAGGGGGGGAAGAGGTGAAAAAGCAAAATCCTGTTTACAGTCAGAAGGGTTGCGCTCTTTGCCTCAGCCACGTGTGCTTCCTTTCCTTGCATTTACAGTGTGTTGCAAATTTAGAGAAGCTTAAAAAAAAAAAAATAGATAAAAATTGGGAACGAAATGAATGAAGCGACAGGGTGTTCCTGCTTATCTGCTGGTGCTGGACCCTTTCTGTAGGGGCACAGTGTTGGAGAAGATGCCATTTCTTTGCTTTCGGTGTCTTAATGAGGTAGCTTGGCATATCAAAACCCAAGGAAGGGCTGTCTCATGGTTGCCATCATCCATGATGCTTTCTCCTGTGAGCTGTGAGGCTGGTCTGCTTCAGCAGCCACTGCCAGCAGTAGTCCAAAAATGATAGTTAGTGGAGCCTGTGCCTACAGCTGTGCTTTGGGGTGTAAGAACGCCAGAGGGGTACTGAGAGATGTGTGTTGCAGACTTCTCTTCCATGCCAAAAACATCTCTGATAGCAGGCTGGGAGAAAACTCAGTACTCACAAGGCACTGCCGAGGGCAGGAGCATTTGGACCAGGCAGGGGAAGGCAGGTTGGGAGAAGGGTTTGCTGCTTTTTGGAGGGGCTGGGTTGTGACCCTGCCTCCAAGCACCTGCACCTGCGTGCACTTGTGTACACGCTTCGGGCTGTGTACATACAGAGAGCAGAGTGCTTGTCAAAACAAAACTTCGTTGTGTTCATGCTCAAAAGAGAATTAGGAAGTGGTACCCAAAGGAATGAGCTGTTAAAATCCAAGGTCTCCTTGAAATAAAGAGCTCAGCCCATCAGCTGCAGGGACCAAGTAGAAAACCCTTTGGAGAACTGACATTTGCAACCACAAAAAATTTTTATTTTAATTGTTTTTTCCCATGATAGTGGAGCAAAAGCAAGATACAAGGGAGCAAGGGGAATTAGTCAGGAACATTATACATTGAAAATGCTGATGTGGTGGGAATGATTTCTGGCTCCCCTGGGCACTCATTGTGCTGGAGCCAAGAGATGCTTTCCAAGTAGAAACAATCATAAATTACCATCTGAGACACTGCGGGATCCCTGTGAGCTGTAACTGGAAAACACCAACCTCAGAGGCATCCCAGAGATTATTTTTTTTTTTTCCCAGTTGGAGA